TTGTACATTTATTTCTATACCGCGCTATGCGCGGTTGGAAGGGTGTAAATACAGGAGTGAAACCGCACGAGGAAGTGTCGACATGTAGACTATGAGTAGATAAAGGGATTGGTCACATAAGTGCCATGAGGGTAAGGCGTATCAGCCAGGGTCCGGGGGCGCGAGGGCCGCGGCGGAGAAAACGGGTGTGGTAGAAATGAAAGCGATGAGGCGATGAAGGCCGGTGGGGTGGTGCCAAAGCCGACGTAAATCCAGGAGGGTGGGCTTGGGGTTCTGAAAGAGCAGGTGCCTTGCGTGCGCATGCCTCAGGCAGCGCAGCATGACGTGGGTGTGGGTGCTGGGGGTGGTTAGATCGCAGACACAGGGCGCGCCATGGAAGTGACGAGCGGGGCCCGCCGTCCCAAATTGAAAAGAGAAGTAAGGGGCCAGGTAGCCGTAGCCCGTTAAGGCTTGGGTTAACCTGGCTTCGACGTCGCGTTCATAATATTTAGAAGTGAAAACGGGGTGGAGCGTCTGGGAAGGCAGGGATGGCCATGAGGACCATATTGCAGTGGGTCGATCGGTGTAACGGAACTCGGTTTGCCAGGAGGTGGTTGCTCGCTCGCGCGCCCAGCGCCGGATCCACGTTAAGGTGGGTAGGACACTATCGGGTAGGGACGTGCCTTCCTTGGCTAGCCGGTCTGCCACCTCGTTACCCAGTACACCCGTATGCCCGGGAACCCATAGCAGTGAAATGTTCAAAAGTGGGTATTGCTCCATGAGAGAAGCGAGAAGTGCCCGAAAGCGAAGGGAAAAGGGCTGGCCACTGTGTGGGCGCAGCGATAGGACATTGGACAGGGCAGCGCGGTTGTCCGCGCAAAGGTAAATGTGGGTGATCATGGGGTAGGTCACCAGAAAACCGGCAAAGCAGCTGGCGACTGCCGCCATTGCGAAGAGTTCTGCGTCATACACCTCGGCCTGGTGACCCATGCCCCAAGCCCGCTCATACTTTATCGCACCCTGGTGAATGATACACGCACCTGCACCTGCTCGTCGGTTCCGCGGGGCGGGGTCAGGCTGGGTGATCTGGGAGCCGTCAGTGAAGACCCATAGGGCATCAGGGAGAGGAATGGAAGAATGCAACAGAGGGAAAAAAAATGAACGTAGGTACTCCTTAGAGCCGTCTTTGGTAGGCGGAGGGACGCAGACGTGAGCCCTCTCGTCCCACGGATGCTCAGGATCCCAGGGTGGCTGCAACCAGGGGAGAAGGCACACCGCCCGCTTGGGCAGGGTTTGTTCGAGCACATCCACTGTGCTGGTGCCGTGGCGGATAGGGATGGTGGGGTTGAGGAGTGAGAAATTGGGCGGGTGGGCAGCGCGGTTGGCCACCAGGCAGTGGATCACCGGGTGGGACTCCGAGAGGGTGAGGAGGCATGCTGCGGCAAGGCCGTTGAGCTTGTCAAGCTGGTGTTTCATCGGCAGGACGCTGGATATTAGGTTGAGGACGTGGTGGGGGGTAGACCGCCACGCTCCCGTAAACCACCGCAGTGCGTCGTTTTGTACCTGTTGCAAAGGTTGAAAAAGTGAGCGTGGGCCCCGCAGGTTATACCACACGGGGCTACCAAAGGTGAGAACGGGAAGGATGGTGGTAAGGTAAAGCAAACGGGCTTGCGCGACCGTCATGCCTCGCTGTGTGTTGGCGAGCATGCGGAAAGCGGCAACGCGGGACGACGCCCTGGCTGCCATGACTCGAATGTGGTGGGTGAAGGTTAGGCGTCGGTCATACCAGATGCCGAGCCAGCGCAAATACGAAGCAGGTTGAATGGTGATATCCTGCCCGTCCCACTTAACCCGCAGGGGGGGGGGTTGACGTCAAGGAATCGTCTCGGGGAGGTAAAGTGAATAAGCTCAGTTTTCGCCATGCCAATGGTCAGCCCAAGCTGGTGAAGCGTTGTGCCCACACTAGGTAGAGTGCGTTGGATGATGGCAGTGTTCTCGTTCAGCGAGGGAGAAACAATAAGGAGGACAAAATCGTCTACGTAGCCCACCGTAGACTGCTGGGGGTGCACGAACGGATCAAGGTTCACATACAGAGGGGAAGAGTATATAGTAGAAAGGACAGGCGACAGAGGCGATCCCTGCGGAATGCCAAGCGCAGCGACGTAGTAAGATGGACCCAGCTCAGAATTGAGTTTGGGCTGCACGGTGCATGAGGAAAGGAATGACATGGTCCAAAGGACCTTGTTGGTGGGAAAGCCCAAAGAAAGGAGAGCAGAGTGAAGGACATCGTGGCGAATGGCATTGTAATAGCCTTCGACGTCCATACAAAGTAAGGTAGCGGAGAAACCGTTTTCCCATGCGATGCATACACGGTGCATCAGAGTGACTCCCGCATCCACGACAGAGTGTTGGCCCCACCCACCAAACTGCGAGCTGGGCACGAGATTGTGAGCACCAATTTGAAAGTTGAAACGGGCAGCAACCACTTTTTCCAGGACCTTGCTCAGGGTTTCTAAGAGCGCTATTGGTCGGTGGGACTTGGGTGCGGTGTAATCCACCTTGCCCGGTTTGGGCAGGTACACAACCGCTGCAGCCCGAAGTGGGGCGGGGAGGTAACCCAGGCGCAAAGAAGAGGATAGAAAAAGAAAAAGAGTGTGACGCGCACCAGACCGCCAGACCCATTTTAGGAGCTGCCATGACACTCCGGAGATGCCAGGCGCTGAATAATTAGATGCAGCCTCGATGGCGGCATTTACTTCAGTGATAAGGAGGGGGCGGTCTGGGCGCGCTGCTGGAGGCGTAGAGGTAAAGAGAGGAGGCAGATCAGGCAAGGGCGGAGATGCCGGAAAATAGAAACGTGTGAGTAGACGACCCGCGTCAGCAGGGAGAGAGCCAGTCTCCCCGTCCGTGCAGATGACAGGTAGTGGGGGTGCCCGCACTCCTTTGGTCCAGGAGGCGAGCTGCCAGGGGTTGGTGTGCTGGAGTCGCGCGACCGCCTCCTGAGTCCAGTCCTTCCGAGCTTGTCAGATTGTGGCCGAGAGTGTGGCTTTGGCTTTTCGCCTCTCCTCACGAGTATGAGCTG